GGGGGCGGGGGCGGGGAACGGGAGGGCAGACGCACCGGCGGCCGCCCCCTCAGCCACTTCCCGCGAGATCGTGAGATCGCAAGCCGGCAGCCAATCAAGTGCCCCCACGAGGGGGCGGGGCGCGGCGGCCGCCCGGAAGCGCGGAACCCTAGCTTCCGTCCTTGCGCAGAACTCCCCTCGCGGCGCCCTCGCTCTACGGATTGGCGCGAGAGTCAAAAGGCGTCGTCCGCCTCTGGGTAAGATGGCTGCCGTGGAGGCGTCATTGTGGGGGAACTTCGCGCCAGGACGGCGACATCTGGACTGAGTCGGAGGCGGAGGTCCCAGCGTCCTTTCTGTCGTTTGTGTGAGTCTGAGGGCAGGGGGCGCGTGCGGGGTCAGGCGCCGGTGCTCCGCGCAGCCCCGAGGCGGGGTCCCTCCCGACCCAGCGCCTGCCTTCGCGCAAAAGCCTGGGAGGATCCGCCCGGGAGCGGCGGGCCGGAGCTCTCGGTTCCGATCGTTGGGGCGGCTCCGGGGCTACGCGACCGGGTCGCAGAACGCGCCTTCGCTCGCTGTCAGATGACTCAACAGGGACGGGCCTGCCCTCGGGGAGCCCCCCGCCGGGAGCCCGGTGGTCCTTCCCGCGCGAGCTCCCCGCGGCCCAGGGCCCGGTGGTCTTTCCGCCCGTGGTTCCTAAGCCGCGCCGGCGTTGGGCAGGGGCTGCAGCCTTATGCGCGGGGCCCCGAGGTGCTGCGTGCGGCCGCAGAGGCGCAGAAATACACATTTGTGCTTTCACATGGTTCTTATTGTCCGTTTGCTGGAGTGGAATGCAGACTCAGAGCAGGGTCTCGTTTTCCTGCTACTGGAGAGTAGAGTTAAAAGATTTTAGAGCTTTTCAGGCAGGAAATTGAGCCCTTTATCGGATGAAATCCGACGTCCTCCTGAATTGGAAGTCAGGGGTTAGATGGCTTCCTGTGATTGCTCAAAAGCGAACTAAATAACGTGAAAGTGGTGGTGGACTTCCGGCAGAAAGTTAAGTGCAACTCGGCAAATGGGTTTGACAATGACGACTGATTACCGACATTTTCCGTTAGTGGAGTGAGTTAAATCTGCAGGTCCAAAGTTTGGGCACAAATCTACTTAAAATGCAGATGCCAGTGTGGTACTTGTCTGTAACATCCTGTTCAAGGACTTAATCCCATAAACAACTTTAGATGCCAACTTCATAGTGCCCGTGGAGGTGCAGATTTTAAAAATTCTTTTCAAGGGCGAGCGAGCAGAAAGCACAGTTCCGGTGCCCTAAGGCGCTAGAATGCTTGCGTCTGAAGGGGCTGCGGCTGTGCCTTCTCTGCGGGTCGGAGGTTGAGGCCTCTCCCCCAGAAAGCCGCTAGTCACCTGGTCCTGCCCATCCTTAATCCTGTCTGGAGACTGGCTGCTGTTTTGTTCCCAGCTCCTCCCTGAAAACGTTGAGGCTGTCCTCTCTGCTTCTTGAGTTGCCCCTCCCAGGGGTCCTGCCAGCTCCTTTCTGAAACCCACCCAGCAGGCAGGGTGATCTCTCCCGGTCCCTGCCCTCTTCACACCCGTCGGAGGACACCCTCCCAAAGTGAGCACGGCTGAGAGCCTCATCGCTCCTACCCTTTCTCTCTCCAACCCAGGTCTCAGATTCTCTCCCCTCTGGGTTCGCAGCACTGCCTGGGCTAACTCCCAGGAGCGGGGAGACCTTCCCTGACGAAGCAGGAGGTAGTGCCTCTCCTTTTGCTCACGTGGTCCCGTAAACTGCCCTTTCGCAGCCCGTTATGTCCCTGATGCCGAACAGTGTGGCACAGCTCACCCCAGACGTGGAGATCTGGGACGTGGCAGGAGTTCCACAGACACTTGTTGAGAAGATGGAGGAGTAGATGACTGAGTGGTGATGGGGACTTGACTAGAAGCAGTTTCAGCAGAAATGGACGAAGGGGGAACCCTTGGTGGGCTGACAGTTTGTAGGGCAACAGAAGAGAAAGAAGTGGAAGATGAGCTCAATGGTGCAGCCTGGTTGGCGAGGTCGCAGTGGTGGCACCAATGGCAGAAGAACCATGAGGATGAGGAGGGAGAGGAGGGAGAGGAACGGGGAAGAGTTCAGGTCGGCCTCTTGGAGTTTGAGGCACCTGTGGGACTGTCTAAAGCTGGTGGGAAAGGTGAGGCTGGGAGTGAAGGTTTTGTGGTAACACCTTGTGAGGGTTGATGAGCACTCAAAGAAAGTCCGTTGAGAGGAGAAGTGGACCAGGTCCAGAATCCACTGAGGGGATCCACCGGGGAAGCCCCGGGGCAGTTTCTAGCAGATGTGATCAGCAGTGTTGGGGCCAGCAGGCGGGGCACCTGGTGAACTTGGTCAGTGTCTGGTCATCATAGGGCGGTGAGCCCAGAGGGGCGAGGTGCCTGACAGAGGGGACCAGGCTGTGACTGGGCTAGCGGCCGCCGTGGGAGGAGTCAGCGGCTGGGATGATTACAGGCAGCACTGAAGCACAGGAGCTGGTGGCTGAGGCAGAGGGGGGCGTGTCAAGGGGAATATCTGGGGGCAGTTGGGTTTACAGGGTGGGACCATGGCTAGAGGAGGCCTGGATGGATGGGGAGGTTCAGCAGTCAAGAGCTCCTTTTGCATGTCAGGTTTCCAGGTGCATTTGAGGCATTGAGTGGGGAGGTTAGGGGAGCAGGTGGAAAGGTGGTAGAGGCGAGCACAGCACGAGTGCAGGAGGACCCTGGGCCCGAGCCCTGAAGACCCCAGCGCACAGCGAGGGGTTTGGGGCATGTGTCGCTCTTCATCTGGAACAGTGAGCAGGTTGACAAGATTTCAGCCTGTGGGGTCGTGAACTGGCTTCTGGAAGGGAACGAGGTGGGCCTGGGGCAGGGGGAGCAGCCAGACGGCCAGAGCTTCTGCTGTTCTCCAAGCCCAGGGGGAGTTTCATCTTGACAGATTAGCACGTTTTTCTCTCTTATTTTTTATTTGAGGTATAGTTTGAGGTACAATATTATATGAGTTTCTGGTGAACAACATAGTGATTCACAAGTTAGCAGTTCTGTAAAGAGAGATGTTAAAGGCTTATTAGTTTTAAAAGAGCATAAAAGAGTTTTTTAAAACGGGAATGCATTTTGAGAATAAAATACACAGTGCTTCTTTTAAACAAATCCTGGACTGCTCAACAAGCAGGCTACCAGCCGTGTTTCACAGAGCCACAGTATTTGGGGTGGTGTTTCTATCTTTCAAACCCCAAAAGCATAAAATCAAACCCATACCCATTGGAGCCCTGCTTTCAAGGGGAGTTTTGGCAAAATCAAACCTGATTCTTGGGGTTAATGTATAAACTGCTCAGAATCATTACCACGAGTAGGCAATAAACTCCAAAAAGCCAATTTCCATAGCCTTAGTTTTTCACAATATTCTGTCTTGAAATTCTGCGTGAAGATGTTAAAGGGAGTAGGGAGACTTTTATTACTATTTAGTTCTGCCGCGTATATTCAGATGCCATGAGTCTTGGCCTGCGAAGCCCGTGCAGTGGGGTTGGAGACAGTCTCCCTCCCCCGCCCCCCTTGCCTTTCTAGGCTCTACCGCAAAGTCAGGACGCGCTGGTGTGTCACAGGTTTCTTCGGATGGGTAAAAGCAAGAGTGATGTTTGTCTTGATCTTTCAACTCCCGCAGAAGTTGCGACATAAAGTGGGGTAGTGTGGGGGCCGGCCGGGGGAGCACAGGCAGCAGACCTGCCTGGCCGTCCCGGGCCCAGTCAGTGCGCTGTTCGCAACCACTTCCTGTTGAGGTGGTGGTTCCCTTCAGGCCTGGCTGGTGGGGACCTGACACGTATGTTGCTGTAGACGCAGGTACAGACAGATGTGCTCACACATAAACAAAGAGCCCGTACTGTGTAGCTGTGTGACTGTGTGTGCTTTGAGGTATTTTTTTTTTTTGTCTGAGCCTGGCTATTCTGATCAGATGTCAATTTGGGAGGTAGAAGCGTTGAGTGAAAATGAGGCATCCTTTTCAATTGGTAACCACATGTTCCTTTTTAAAAACACACTCTCAAAATTTTGTTTTTGCGTTTTTAACTTTAAAACCTTATGTTTACTCTCTAAGTGCTTTTACTTTCCGTTGGAACAAGAGGAACTTCTGTCTGTCTGACCAGCTCCCAGGATTTTGCATTCCTCCGTACCATCAGAAAGGGCAGCTTTCTTGGG